CAAAACAACAACATAGTTCTCCATTTTAAGTTTTATTAAAGTACAGAGTTAACAAGTTTTGAGTTTTCTACCTAGGAAAAGACTGGTCAACTTCAGATGCTTCATAGAAAAATTAGCATTCAAAAAACAAATACAAACCCACAGTTGCCTTTGTGTCTAGAGGGTAGAAAATAACTTCTTAAAAAGTTACCAAAACTATAACCATATCCAAGACTATTATAAATTTCAAACAGTAAATTTACCACACATTATACATTTCAAATTCTAATATAGCAAAACATAACCAATAATTTGGCTACAGCTAATTACTTCACAAAAGTTTAAAAAATTAACAAAGTTATGATTATAAAACTTTCGTAGAATTTTTTTTGCAAAGTAAAAAAAGAACTTAAATCTTTAATATAGGAAAGCAAAATAATCCTCTTAAATTTCTCATAAATAACTCTCAAGACATATATTACACATCTGTTGCAAGCTTTCTTTACCTGAGAGAACTTCCCAGGATCCTTCACCCAGAGGATTACCTTAAAGAATGCTTCATCATTTTACTCACATAAATATGATCAAACCCCTACAGAAGTAGATTTGGCCATAGGCATTTTTAATGTATCCTTACCCAATTAACTTTTTCTGAAGGAATTTTGCCTAAAAACAAACAAACAAAAAACCCTCTTTGGTAAAAGCCAAATATTTCCTTCTTTCAAAACGAACGCCTCTGCGAATGATCTACTGGTGAAAAAAATTTTTAAAAGAGAAAGATCTTTAGAATGACCAGCATTAGTCTGAAAGATCTGTGTGAACAGCTCTCTAGTCCTGTAAGGTAGGTCCAACAGGTCCAACATACCTCTGCCTGAAATGCAACACTACATTAAAGTGTCTGAGGCTTTACAAGCATCCTAAAGATGGTGGGACACATGGTGGCCACCTTAAGAACAAAGCAGAGGGGGGGCGCCTGGGTGGCGCAGTCGGTTAAGCGTCCGACTTCAGCCAGGTCACGATCTCGCGGTCCGTGAGTTCGAGCCCCGCGTCGGGCTCTGGGCTGATGGCTCGGAGCCTGGAGCCTGTTCCCGATTCTGTGTCTCCCTCTCTCTCTGCCCCTCCCCCATTCATGCTCTGTCTCTGTCCCAAAAATAAATAAAAAACGTTGAAAAAAAAAAAAAGAACAAAGCAGAGGGAGCTCGTTCTATCAGGAGAATATCCTGATAGAACTGGATATGAGCAGAATTCTATGAGCAGACTGGCTACTGCACTGTCCTTAAGGAGGACCCAGCGTTCTCTCTGAGCATGTAGGGCCTTAGCCCAAATCACCTTCATTTCCAAGAGGAGTAGAATACAAATGTATGCCAAAACGAAATGCTATTTAGAAAGGCAGTCAGAGGAGGAAAAAGCCAAGGCAGCTTAAACACAGGCTCTCGAATTCCCTTTGCAGGGTAACATGAAGCACCAGCACCAATGGTGGTAAACTTCTGGCTAAAATTAAATAAGTACATAATCTTAAATAGAGAGAGGGGGACAATATGGGGGTGGAAGTGGGATTAGCATTGCATGAAGGTCATCCAGAACAAAGGCTCCTCTGAGGAACTGGAAATAAACAATGAGGTGTGGGGGTGCAATGGGAGGCGGTTCCCCAAATCTCCAGTAACCCCACCCTCCAACAGCTCACATGCACACAGTCCATCTATTCACAAAAGAGCCCCAAGTATCTCTGATGAACAATTCTTTCAAGCCATTTCCAAGAAACCAAGAGGACAAAAGCAAAACCAACTAACCAGTATTAAAAAACTCAACCCAGTCTGGATGAAGTCGGGTTGCCAAAAGCCTGGGACAGAAACATCTCTGGCCTTCAGTGAGGTGACACATCTAGGTACACAGCAACATTCCCAGAAGACTCCCTTCCCCCACTTAGTGTTTTTACTCATGAAAACGAGAAGGGAAAAAATCTCCACATGGAAGGAATAGCACAGGGGAAACATACACATAGTTTTTTTAAAAAACTTCTTCCACTTTCATCACTAAAGGAGTCTGACCAGCAGCTACAGGGAATGTACTTTTTTAAATCACGTACAAAAAGTTGTAGGAAGCAAAATTATATTAATAAAAGATCAGTGAATTTCTCAAATGAACACCATGACAGCAACTCAAAGCAATTGGCACAATTTTTCCAGTTTCTTAAATCACGGTAGCATAAAAATGTAGGTTCTTTAAACCCACAAACGTTGACTCATCACCTGAGTATTGTTTATTACAATTAATAATCATTAAAGTCAACTTATTTGTATGCCGTCAATCCTTAGAGTATATCCACATCGCGTGCACCATTCAGATAAACTTGCTTAAATACCCAGCTGAGCATAAAAATCAGTGGCTGCAACCGTTCCTCTCGCGTCAGACTAAACTTCAAGAACTTTGGGCCACAAACCAAGTTTTAAGCAGCTGGCAACCATGGGATTGGCTGGGCCAGCTAAAGAAGGAAGCTCTGAGGGCTCGGCCACTGGCAGTGGATGTCCTTTTCCTTTGTGTTTCCCTGAGCTTCTTTCTGCAGGGGAAGTCGGCCAACGAAGGACAGCCAAGTAACAGCAGCCTTGTCAGAGGGACTGTGAGCTGCCGAGGACCAGTTCTAAAGTCACACAGCTGGCTGCTCAAGCCAGCTAGACCCTACCAGGAAGAAACCCACATTGAAACTGGCATCCCAGCTCTTGAGTTCCCAAAGCCAACCTCAGCTTACCCAGAGCCCCGTGGCACTATGGCACTGTGGCAGCTTCTCCCGGGGGGCTGTCACACATACCCACAGCCCGCTCCCTCGATCTGTCCCCAACCCACAGAAGTCCCAGTCCCACCGGCTTAATAGGGGCTGCACACAGCGGCTATCCATTTTGTGACTCCAGAGGACCTGTCAACTGCCAAGCTCCAAGAGCCTCGGCCTAAAAAAATCAAATGGATGAAGTTTACAAAACAAGGCCCTCACACACACACGAGTGCCTTTATAAATGGAACCTTAAACATTATAAACAAGGCAAGAGTCTACAGGAATTCATCCACTGAATTTGTTTCCCCTCTGATTTTCCTGGGAGAAGGGCAAAGGAGTAGAAATGAAGAATTTGACTAATTCCCCACACCAGCCCTTTGGCACACTGGGACCCAATTCTGCCCAACTCGTACAGTAGGGCACACAAAATACAGGCCGAGTCTCTCCATTTTCAGACCCTCTATGGCCAGGGAGCTCGAGAGGACTCTTTCCACCCTGTGTGAGACACTAACAGAAGCACCCCCACCGTGTCTCCACTGGGGTCTCTAACGGCCTTTCCACTGAGAAAACTCTTCCGTGACTGAGGAGAGCAACACTGAACATGGAAATCTTCTTGGGCAGCTGCGTAAAGTCACATCTCCTAGGAGTGTTCCAAGTATGTATTTTTGGAACTCTCCATGCACGTTGTTTATGGCTTAATTAAATACCCCTCCCCACGCCCCACCCCTCACCATTTCTTCTAGGTATATTTGGCCATTTCTACAACTTGTATAATAGGCTTTTATCTGGTCAGCCCAGTTGGAGGGGCTGCCTGGGATCCTTACCTCAGCAAATCTACTCTAAAAAACCACAGTGGATATTAATGCCATGGTCACATCACAGATCCTGGAAACAAAAGCCCTTTTGCTGTTAGAATTTCAAAGGCCTCAAGGTGGAAGAGAAACTGGTTGACTTTCATAAATGAAAGAGGGGTACAGCAGGCTTCAGTCAAGAAGCAACTTTTCAGGTAAGGTCCTAGAATATTATTACTATTAATAAGTATAAACATGTGAGAACTATAAGAACTATAGCCCTCCATTGTTCAAGCGAAGAAAACAACCCGAATACTGTTCTATAATCATGTGAAAAACACCACAAATGGGAGTCACAATTATTGCAGTAACTCAGATCAGGTAGTAAGAATACAGTGGGGACCACACGGTAGTGATGGCAAAATTGTGCTTTTTCACATTATTAAGCAAAGATACTCAGCCCAGAAAGAAGAGGGGACCTCTGGGAAGGGCAAGGGCAGAGAGTGAAGCTGTGATTCCCAGCATCACAGTTTCAAAGGGAAACGCTGGGGGGCCAGGAGGAAACAGCACAAGGGTGGAGTTGCAAGCAGGTGCTTCCTCTTGGACCCTATAAATACCAAGTAGCTGTGAGCAAGGGGCCTGTAGGCTGAGTTCTGTCTGCAGAGCCCGCTGGGGATGAGACTCCGAGCTAAGGTGTGTGAGAGGGGCCTGCATTCTATCAGGGGCTGAGGGCTCAAGATTTTGGCATGTTTTTCTATTCCAAGGATAAGAATGACAGGCCACACAAAGGAAGTTGTATCCTTGTGATAAGATGTCGTGCCCCAAACCCTATTTTGGTAAAAACATACAGAAGCAAAATACTAGCCTATTCCAGTTTTTAGGGTTATGACACACACAAAATACATGATCACTCGGGATCAGCCTGGCTGAAAATTTCAGTTCTTTTGGGATAAACTGGTAATTTCTTTTTGATTTTCAGAATTAAAAAGCTAATCAGGTGATTTTTTTTTTTCTGAAGGCCTTTTCAGACCCACTTCAACCAGCCTGAAGATGCTAGCATTTCACAAAGCACCAGTCACTACTCAGACCCTTGTTCAAAGGATGTCACTTCCAGCCTGCGGGCCTGGTCAGATGCCCCTCACACGGAGAACTGCCGAGAGGGGCAACAGAGGGGAGCAACCAGGGTCCCCAGGTATAACAGGACACACATCCAGCAGGAGGCCATCTTGACCCAGAAGATGGACCAGCTTCCGCTGAAGAAGGTTTCGATGTTGGCACTTTCATAGCTGTGGAAACAAGAGACCCAGCTGTGGTCAGAGCAGGAACAGAACGAGGTGGGGGGGTGGGGGGGGGGAGGTATCTTCCAGCCGGTGTCTCCCCGATTCCATCCCCTCCAGTCTTTCTGTTTTTTTGTTTTGTTTTCCTAACAGCTCAATTCAGATACAACTTACACCATTTCTCCACCTACTTTCTATCTTTATGTATCTGCCTACTTGGGACATTTCACAGAGATGGAATCATGTGGCCTCTTGGTTTTCACCAAGCACACTGTTTTCAAGGTTTAACCATGTATTCCTTTTTATGGCTGAGTAATATTCCATTGCACTCATATGGCACATTTTGTTCATCCATTCATCGGCCAATAGGCATTTGGGTGGTTTCTCCTTTTCCCTAGTATAAATGAGGCTGCTATAAACACGTAGGTCAAAGTTTTTGTGTGGACGTACTTTTTTTTCCCTATTGGGTAGATACTTAGGATTAGAACTGTCAGATTGTGTCATAACTCTACGTTTAACATCTCGAAGAACTGCCAAACTGTTTTCCAAAGTGGCAGCACCATTTCACAATCCTACCAGGAGCATAAGAGCTTCCAATTTTTCCCACATTCTCGACATCTGTTCCTTTCTGCCTTATTGATTAAAGCTCTCTCCTTTAAGCTTTCCACACCAAACCTTTCTAGGGATTATCAAAGCATTAGAAGCATTAGGGACATATTAGAAGCTCCCTCCTCTCATCTCCCTCAAGATGTTCTGGAAAAATCTCCCCAGTGAAGCATTCTGCTATCTCCACCATCCCCAAACTTCACCTGTTACTCCTCATTTCTCTTCCTCAGTTTTCTCCCTAATAGTTATTAGCACTACCTAGCACACTGTATTTGATTTGGATCATGGTCTGTGTCATCCATTCAATTATAAGCCCTGCCATTTGTAACAGCATGGCACATGGGAGCCACTCACACAGTTGCTGAAAGAATGGATAAAAGAAAGCACAATGAGCCTAAATGTCTATCCCATGTTTATTCTGAGTTATAACAAATTATTATCCAACAAAAACTTTGGATCAGTGAAAAGTGATTAAAAAAGAATTAAAAAGAACTTCCATGCAGTGATAGGGAAAGTCAGACCCAACACGTACTGTTAGCTTTAAAAACAAAATGAAACAAAAAAAATCTCAAGGGGAAACACGTATAATCATACTTATATT